TTTTATTTTTGTTTATAATTGTTTTTGAAATATAAACCTGGAAGTGTACTTTCAAATGGTTCATCATTTTACAATAAGAGCTTTGTTGTTATATGAATTTTGGCCTACTTTCACTTTGGAAAACAAACATGGCTGTCAGAGCTGAATCATCTTAAATCGTAAAATTGTAAACTGTGACTCTGACAATAAACTTTTGAAATGAACTGAAATGAATTGAATTGTCAGCCCGGGGTTCAATGTTTGTAAATTCACAATTTCTTTTTACTTGTATGGCGATTTAAACACATAAACGTAATAACGGATAGTTTTCCTTATTATAGTTTTCTTTACCTACATCCCACTGATTATCTATACTTCACAGTATATTATATATAAACTATTAGATTTATGTAAATCAACAAGCAATCCTCGATAGTATAGTGGTGAGTATCCCCGCCTGTCACGCGGGAGACCGGGGTTCAATTCCCCGTCGGGGAGGTGCTAATTATTTTCGACAACATAGATATTTACTGTAATTTGATGAAAGCCCGCGCAATTTGTATAATAATTAAAGTGTGTACCCACATTTTTTTGAAAATTATAAAGAACATTTTAAGATTGTAATGTCTCTCGACCAATTAAAATTTAAAAGTCAATGTGCTTACAAATTCTAAATGGAGGTTACTCAAATTCAAGTTAATACCAAATCAATTTGTGCAGGCTAAGAATACACAAATGTACGATTTCAAACATTTTCTAAACCATATTTTGCATTTGTTCCTGTTTTAAGTGCCTCTCCTATTCTATGCAATCTATGTAAGAACTCTGACATTTATTACAATAGAGTAAACAGAACAAGTTAAAGAAATTCCCCTGTTTTAAGTTTGTATGTAAATTTAGGAAACATAATATAGTTCAAAATTTCATAAACAGAGACATAAAAATCGCGTTTGTAAGGGTTTTCTAAATAATCCTCGAAATGTGTAATATGTAAAAGCATATCGTATGATAGTTAGCATTGCTTATAAGATATACACGAATAATCCAATTTACTTAGACAATATCATTGTCTGAAAATGATAATGTAGATTATTATCTGCCTGTACAACAACACAGAGTGATTAAATTGTGTAAACGTACATATTTGAACAATTTTCATCAAAATTGAAAAGCTCTATTTATGATCTCCTTAACCAAAGTGGGTTACTAGGCTATAATGTTATCTATTTTATCTTGAAAATATGTAAGACTTAATACAAAGACAATTTTGCCTCACTTACTTATACATTTCCGCTCAAACTCTGTAAGTAATAAGGTAGTCACATTGTTATTAGCGTCGGCCATCTGACTACCACCTAAAAAAACAATTAAAGACGGCTTTTATTTAATTAGCAACATATTGTTTAATGTTTTATTACCCTTTCATCTAAATTTACATATTTCAAAAGAAATGACAAATTTTTGTAACGAGCATGAAGTGCCTTTAATGTGTATTTCATTGCGTTAAATGCATTCCTCGCATATAAGAAATAAATACAGAACATAATGTACATAGTATACATTGAGCAAATAAAGCTTTGATACATGTATTACAAAAAGAATCATACCGTTGAAATAAATTTTATAATTGATTATATTTGAAAATAAAACATTCATGATTTACATGCAACAAGGAAATGGAGTAAATAGTATGCATCATATTTTTCATAAACTGAGTTAATACCCTCACTATTTATAAATATACATGTATATAAAGAATTTAAAAAAACGAAATGAAATGTTTTTCTAAAAATATCAGATTTCATCTAATCTAAGCATCATACTTCTGAAAGTAAAACGTGTCTTAAGGAAAAATAAATTTCGTATAATTGATGATATAACTGAGCAAGCCAGGCTCAAAATTTACTAAAATATCAATATTTAATAATGCTTAATTACGAATTTGACACGAAATCAGCTTTTTATTTCAACTTATATCAGTCACTTTGCACTGTACGCTTTATCGTTTAAAACATTATAATTCTATTTTAAAGATCACATATTTCCTTTTTAAACAAATATTAACTATTTAAAGCAAATGCAGTTGCATAAAACATGTAGATATTTTTTTAAAGCTTTTAAGATAACAATATTTGTCATATCCAGAATATGACTGCATCTATACCAATCATTTCAGAATGGTCATTAATATTTTGTTCCTGAAATACAGCCTGATAAGTATACTTGTGTTGGTATCAAACATTGAACCAATCATTTCATATATTGGCCTGCCCTTAAGAGTTTTGCCGTTCGTTTTATTTAGTAAAGATCGTTTGTTTATGCGATAAGCATCTATTAAATATCTCAAATGCATTCCACACTCTTCTTTATAGCTTTTTGCTGTTTAAAGCTTCCATTATTGGTACTTATAAGAATCAAATTATCTAACAATCATGCTACATATTGAGTACACCAAAATATACCATTACTTGAATGACTTTTCTTTTCTGGCTTAAAAACAAGGTCAACCATATATTATTAGATATAAAGATTTTTGACAGATTATACGCCCTATATAAACGGTTGTTTTGAAATATAACTAAAAATATATTTTTATAATAAATTCATAATACAGCAAGCATAATTTTGAATAGAAAAAGTACGATTTCTTCATAAATCGACTGCAGCCATGTATATAAAACAATATAAACGTCACAATTATCTAATGAAAAGCGACGTTACAGACGTGCAGTATTATAGAAATTTTATAACGCAATTCTAAAAAAGATAAAATATTAAATTTGCCTGACTAAGTAGGGTTATTCCTACGTTAGTTTCAACTGGAGATTAATTTCAGGTACGATGCAAATCGGTTATTAGTTAGCTGTACAGCACTTTACAAGCAACTTGTCATGCGTTTACGGTAAACAATATAATTATGTACAATGTATTTGATATGTTATTAAGTTTATAATCACTTTCCAAGGTTACATCTTTCTATGGGGTGAATTAGGGCTAATTGTCCTGTTTGACTTTGAAAATCCTGTATCTTATACAAATACTTACCAACAAGCTCATACATTTTATTCAACATTTAACAAAGAATTGTTCACTTTCCCCCAATCAAATATAATGATACAAAAAGGAAATTAAATAGATTAAGCCTGTGAAATTCTTTAGTAATTAAAGTTCAATTATCGTATCTGTGGAACACGTTGTTACATCTTTCAGGTGAAACTTGTCCTGACATTTTAACAGAAATAAAAAAAATGACAATATTTTGACAATTGCTTCGATAACCATTAACACTCCGATTAAAGACACAAAAAGTTAATTGTAATTTTAGTAAATTTCTTTCAAAGACACAAAATTAAAAAAAAAATGCTTCTATACTTGCCCGTACTAAAATAACGTTTTGTTCTGTCTGCTATTTAACTGACATCAATGAAAAATGAAAACCATGACTTTTTCTTAATCATATTTGGATTATCATACCTCATTGTTCTGTTAATATTGTGTCTGATTTCAATATTACACCTTTCTTACAAATGTTACTATTTTCAGTGCACTATGTAATGCCTTCCAACTTCAAATTTGTACTCGATCGGACATTTGCAAACTTACATGTTGTCTTGTAGTATTATATCAATTTGATTGATATTCACGTACGCTTTAGTGATCATTTTAAATGCATGCAACATATGAATATGAAATAAAAGAATTGCAAACAAAGTCATCACTATATAACAACAGAACAACTTACACACGTTATTTTATTATTCTATTTAACCTATTTTGAAACCAAAAGACGTATTAAATTTCAGTTTTAATTTTGTATAAATCATTTTCTTACATTAAAATAATTTCAAACCATCTTATTTCGCTTAATTCAGGACGAGTTAAGCAAAGGTCGGGAACGAGTTGATCAAAAAGGGGACGAGTTGACCACTGCACGAAAAAGAGTTGATCTGACTTCTTAAATTTAATGTTTTCATTCAAGTCACTTGAGCAATAAAAAAAGGATGACTTTGCCAAATGATTATTCAAATAAGTAGACCAAGTAGTATTGTGAAGGGGATTAAAGCTTTATTCGTTCAAGAAGTTAAGTTTATGTTTAGTTTGCTAATATTCAAATTTTATTTGGAAAAAAATTTTAATACCACTCGGGAAGAAATGTTATAACTTATGCATCTTGATGTAATATATACTTACATATATGTACTTCCAGTGGATGCCTATGCTACTGAAATAAAAGTGAAACCTATTACTGGATTCTTTCAAAATGAGGACATTACAGAGGATTATCTGATCATTAAATCTGGAAAGTCGCAAAGATGAATATGGGGAAATTGTTCTGGTACAATTTGAAAACACGTCAAAATAGTAGACAAATATAGATGATAAGCGCAGAAAATGCACGTTTCGAGCGCTTGGCAAAGTGAAATGACACTATTTGCATTGTTGGCTGTGGCAGCCTATGTGGAAAGAAAGAAATAATAAAAAACGTGATATTTTGATAATGTCGCATTGTAGAATGTCGAATTGCATTGTCAAGTGTCTTTGTCAGCAGAAATACAGACTACGACACTCAACATTGCGAAGTTACATTGGTATAATGCGAAGTGACATCGCTGTAATGAGAATTCACGCACAATGCGAAGCGACAATCGGCAATTATAATGTCGCTTTATTAAAAATGAGACATAACCAGACAATAATGTGGTATTTTGTTTGGCACTGTAAAGCATCGTTTCGCATTGTTAAGCGTCGTATTGCATTGTCGCGATGCCAGTTCCTACTGACCTGTGTCGATCTATAATAGCGACTGACGACATTATAAAAAGCACTTAAATGGCACCGTAGAATTACCAAAGCATCAGTCATTCGTCTTTCGTTAACCGTCATCTGTCGTTATTCACAACTTAAAACAACAAAACATTTTCTACTAAACAAATTGGTACATTTAAGCCAAGCTTTACACGGCGCTCCACTGATCTTTTGAATAGCTACATTGGTTAAATAATAAGTATATTAATACAAGTTTGTAAAAATGTCTTTTATTTCTAATTATTTACTACATCTGTGATTGTTTGATATATGTCTAAATGAAAGACACAATGCAATTTAACAGCGAAAAGTCATCGTTTTTCAAAAAGTAAGTGCAAGCAATTCTACTTTCGTTCACATATGTATCCAAGTGTTTTAGCACAGTAATCATCGTGCCAGCGATAGTGTTCGTTCGTACTCCACATGCAAGCACAATCCTGGTCGTGTCCTCCGTCGTGGTGGTTTGGTTGGCCGCTGTGCCAGTCACCATCTGTTATTGGGTGATTATTTACCCAAGAGAATTGGTTTGTTTGGTGAAAATCCTTTGCTCCTATCCAAAAACCAGTCTGATGGTTATCTAAAAGAAAATATAGTCTGACATAGGTTTATTTTGGAAAAAGAATTTCCGTTGAAGCTAGAGTTAAACATTTGATGAATGCTTTTTAATTAATCAATTATTATTTTAATGTGATACTATTTTTAGTTGCTTCATCATACGTTGAACGATTTTTTATCAGATTCATTCGGAATATTTAGCTTTTTCACGCCTTAAATGTTTTGTATGCGTCATGGCAAATAAATGATGACACAATTTTCAAAAGCACTATTGCATGTTAAAAGTTGCAGACTTAAATAGGTTTTAGTTATGTAAAATATCTTTATTATATTATTCAAATTCCATGTCCTTTGATGCATTAACGGTTCCACCATGTGAAATATTACTTGCAAGGCAAGAAAATATATGATTTTATGTACTATATTTTCTGTAAAATTAATAAAATAAGCTAATGTGCATCAAATATTTTGTTAAAATAATATACCGTTGATATTATGACATTATTTTATGAAACAATTTCGTACTTATATCGTTCAAACTCTTTTCAGCAGATTTTGTAAGTGTGGAACAGAATGGACAATAATGAACATTTTAAACTTACAATGACCGTCGTGAACTAATTTCATTCTCATCATTCGCGCTTTAACGCTTGTATCCAACACAACAAGATCACCACCACTATGTTTACAATCTGATCGAGCGCCGTCCCAGTTCCGTTGATGTGTCACAATTTTCACACATAGATGTGTACCGTCTCTTTCTTAATCCATATAACCGTCATGTGTGTCGCATTGAAATGTGTTCGTATGGTGAGTAGGTACTGGATTTATCACAGCGTCAGTCGCCCCTGAATTTTGAAAACAAAATGTCATGATTATCAAGAACTTAATGTCGATTATACATTGTTGCAAATAAATTTTTAAACATGTGTTATTTGCATTGCACTGCGAACCTAGTTTGCACTGTCACTTGTGCGAGCTATTGATAAGATATTTGCCCATTGTGGAATATTTTAATGTTAGGCTTTAGTTTGATACATTCTTTTGTTTTGATTGTTTTTGGTAGTATATTTACATATATTTATTCTTTCATCCTCTTTTTAGCACCCACATTCATTCTGTTTTAAATGTTGGTCATGTCGGGCATAGTGCCATAGCTACTTTTCATGTTTTAAAATCAATATACGCTAAAATGCTATAAGCTAAATGTTGATTTTTATTTGTTATACATTATAGATGAAATTAAACAATAGAACGGAAGTACCTTTGCAAAGTTCAGTTGATATTTGAAATATTACATGTGGATTCATTAGAGTTATACTTCTTGTGAATACTTTAATTCGCCATACAAATATATTTAACTTTTGTTTCGAAAAAAAGTATTGAAAAATAATTAACTGCAAAATAGATAGTATAATTTCTCTTTCAGTAATTGGTCAAAACCATCGAGTCATTTTTGTTCTAAACATGTTAACGGAGTTAATAAAATAAATTAGTGAAATAAATACAACCTGTGTGGTGTGCGATATTTGCTTTTAGGGTAGTACGGTCTTCACAAATAAAATGCCATTTGTTTTCACACTTGTCGTCATGCCAGCGATAATAATCAAGTCCGTATATTATTACACAATTTTGTGGGCTATGCTTGTTATCATCCGGTTGACGATTGTGGGCAACCTCGTCACCACCTCCCCAGTTCGTGTAGAAAACCTGATGTCCGTTAGGCCAGTAGAATACACTGTTGTCGTGTTTATCGAATGCTCCTATACAGTACTTCCTATCAGACGCTTCTAAATCTGTAACAGAAATGCTTCGTACATGATTTGAGCCGAGTCACGACAAAACCAACATAGTGCGTTTGCGACCAGCATGGATCCAGACCAGCCTGCGCATCCGCGAAGTCTGATCAGGATCCATGCTGTTCGCATTCAGTTTCTATACTTGTTATAGGGTTTGTAAGCGAACAGCATGGATCCTGGTCAGACTGCGCGGATGCACAGGCTGGTCTAGATCCATGCTGGTCGCAAACGCACTATGTTGGTTTTTTCATGACGCGGCCCAAATGCTTCGTACATGATTTGTAAATCATGGATTTTTTCAGTGAGCTTAAATCCTTTTTTAAA